TTAAAATTTCTGGGACTCTTCTTTTCTCCACCCTACACACTGAGGTCTCATTAGTTCTCACCTGGAACATTACACCAGCCCCCTGTCAGGTCAAATTATTATTTTTTTAATGTGTTCAGAACTGAGCTAGAAGTTCACATCTGTAATCCTAGCTACTTGGGAGGTTGAGATCTCAGAATCCAGGTTCAAAGCCAAGCTGGGCTATAAGTCCAGAGAGATTCATTGGAGATTCATGCCTCCAATTAATCAGTAAAAGCCAGAAGTACAGAAGTGAAGGTATGGTTCAAATGGTAGAATATTAACCTTGAGTGAAAAACCTGAGTGTGTGTCCCTGAGTTCAAGCCCCAGTACTAGTGCCAAAAAAAAAAAAAAAAGCCCAGCTTATTTAATTAAGGTTAGGGACCCTAGAAGAAACTAAATGAATATGGTCTCCATTTGTTTGTAGATTACAATGGTTAGAGGGGGTTAGACTTACATAAATTATATGCATTGACATCACAATATATAAAACAATGCTGGTAGCTGGTGACTCAAGTGTGCAACCCTAACTACTAAGGGGCTGAGATCTTGATCATGCCAGCCAGGGCAGTAATGTTCATTAACTACTAAAAAGCTGGAAGTGGAGCCTTCAGCTCAAGTGGTAGAACTCTAGGCTTGAGCAAAAAAATCTCAAGGGCAGTTCCCAGTCCTGAGTTCAAGTTCCATTATGGGCACAGAAAAGAAAAAAAGTATGAAAGATACAATGTGATAAGTGAATTCTGACTCAAGAGTCAAGAAAGTTTTTTTTTTTATAAAGAAATCAATAAAGCTGAGATCTAAATGATGGGTGAACAAAACACCAATGGTGAGAAGAGAAAATAACATTCCGAGGAAAAGGAAGAGTTTCTTAAGGATCAGATTTTCTGTTTTGCAGGCCCCAAATCTCTGGCTCCTCTTAGCTGTCATTATAATGCAAAAGCAGCCATAGGCAATACAGAAATGAGGATTTCTAAATTAAGAAATCAAAGAAGAGTAAACAAATAATAGCTCAATGAACTTAGAACACAGGAACTTATGTTTTTGAGTGTGCACCTGAATAGTTCTTCTGAAACTATCTAGCTTTCTTCCATTTCCCATTAACCTGTCAAAACGAAAGTGTCAGGATTCCCTACAAATGGATGCTTTTCTTCAGGGTAAAGGGGCAGAGCCTTTAGAATTAAAAGTGGTTCTATAAATCCACAGTCCGGCAAAATCAACATCACTTGCCTAAGTGTTAGAAATGAAATTTCTCAAAATTCTCAGTCATAGCCCAAGGACTACTGAATCCAAGTGAGTAGTTTAACAAGATCTCCAGGTGATTCATTTACACATTAAGCTTTGGGACCCTCTATGGGCCAACCCAGTCAGGCTTTCAGGAAATGCTAAAGCTGATTTTAGAAAGAATTCTGAATGTGTAATCAGACACCAAAAAGATTCTCAGCAGGAATTCCTGTACAAGCTTACCAAACAAAGCAAAAGAAAACAAAAATGTGAATTCAAGGCTCACCTTCAAGCACTTGAAGAAATCTGTGTGATTTCTTTTTTTGTTTGTTTCTTTTGTATGTTCTTCCCCCGTGGTATAACCCTGTTTTCACTGTATTTGATTTCAGTGCCCTGAATCTTGTATATACATTTTTCTAATTTGGGGAGGGGAAGGGAAATAACAAAATGCTGAAACAAGGTTACAGGTTGACCCTTTGTAACAATGAGATGTACAAGACAGCATGTTGAAAATGAACTTTACAGCTTTGGTGGGAGGGGCGGGAGAGGAAGAGTTAGGAGCGGGGAGAGAAGGGATGGAGGGGGAAAAACAAAGGAGGGTGTTACAATGCTCAATAGGAAATGTTCTCATTATCTTACTCATGTAACTGTAACCCCTCTGTACAGTATCTTAACAATAAAGCATATATTAAAAAAGGAAATGTTTAGTGCCTTATTAATAAATAAATTAATAGAAGTTTCTCTTAGGAGATCACAAATACTGTCATGTAATCTAGAAATGAATTATTTTCCCCAGACTTCATTTAGCATAGATTGTTCTTGAGTGAAGGTGGTAAGCATCTGAAAGTGTCATGCTGGAGGTGCAGGAAGATCTCCTGAGACATATACCCAAGCTGGCCACACAGCAGGAACGGACATAGCTCTGAAATGAATCCATGATTATGCTAATATTTTTTGTCTAATTCAGCATAACTCCTCCCCTGTCTGTGTTACCATCAAAAACCCATCTAACCCATTTCTTCCAGTGGTGTTGTCCACTATGAAGAAGAAAAACAAAAACACATAGAAGATATGCTAAGAGGACACCACTGCCTTGTTCCTATTCCTACTCCCAAACAATTTTATGGAGGGATTGAAAGATGATGGACTGTATTACGTCATGGAACAAGCTGGGATCTAAAGCATGGTAGGTAGGGTTTATTCCCCACCCCTCAACATACAGGAGTTTATTTCTATACTACAAAGTACTCTTAAAAAACAAAACTCTAAATATGCTCCTTTAATAATGTCTTTAGACCTGACCCAGAAACAACAGCCTGGCTATAACTGTTACTATATAAACCAGAAATTTCCAGCTAAGTTGTGCCCAGATTCTAAATTCCTAGAAACTGCAGCTTACTCTCAAGTACTATAATTATATCTAATGGTTAAATATTAGACTACTGAACATATTTGAGTGGCACTTCTGTACATTACTGACAATGAAGATTATTTTCATTTAAATAAAGGTAAAACTTAAAACATACTAATAAGCTGATTAAAGAATAAGTTATGCAAATAATATTTTTCCCAGAATGTGTGAAACAAAAATATAAGGTGTTTTTTTTTTTCTGTTCTTTTACAATATAAAAAGAGGTTTAGCCAGGTACCAGTAGCTCACACCTGTAATCCTAGCTACTTAGATGGCTAAGATCTGAGGATCGCAGTTCAAAGCCAGCCTGGGCAGAAAAGTCCATGAGACGCTTAATCTCCAATAAACCACTCAGAAAACCAGAAGTGGCGCAGTGGTTCAAATGGTAAAGCACTAGCCTTGAGCTGAAGAGCTGAGGGACAGCGCCCAGGCCCAGAGTTCAAGCCCATGATCAAAAAAAAAAAAAAAAAGAGGATTAAAAATTACTAGCACAGTGCTAACCCTTTGGTCTTATATTTTTCTTTACTAATATATATTACTTTTACAAAAGAATAGGTTTCATTATGGCCCTTTCAAACACATACATACATACATAAATATATATATGTATATATGCTATGTACACATGTACATATATGTGTATGTATGTGTAGATATGCATATTGATGGAGGGAGAGAAGAAAAGACAACCAGAATGAAGGATTTCAATTCTTGTTCTGCATCTAGATGAGTCAGATGCCCTCTTTCTCAGCTTCAGTGCCCTGTGCGACAGACCTTATGGGAACTAAGTCAATCAATACTTATTAAAAAAAAAAATAAAGAAAACAGCGGAACCTGAAAGACTGTGCAGAGTAGTCTGTATTCTAATTTCTTTCCTTCAGATTTTTCAAACTAATCTGAGCCGACTCTTAACTAGAAGTTTTTAGATGGGAAAATAAAGCCTGAGATTAAAAAAAAATATGTTTGGCCTAAAACACACCACTGTTAAGAGCAATGTCAGAATTAGATTCTTAAAACCCTTAACTCCTAAGATGGCTGACTCCAAACTCATCAGCCACAGAAGCCTTTCTACAGATTAAGACTTATAAGATAGATAACAAGCCCAGCCTGCTTTGATTAATGAAGTTCTCTTTTTTCTCCTTCCTCCTCCATGGTGAAAAATCCTGGGGCACCTTCCCAGGTACCCTTAAGTTCTCCACCTCCATAGACAGGCTGAATAACTGATGATTCAGCCCATCTGAAACCCCAGAGCCAGTAAATGAATCACATTGGGTCCTGTTCTTTAGATGGATTCTCTGTTCCTCAGACCACCTAAAGGGTTTTCAAGTCCCGAGGTTCCCAAAGGACTTGAACTTTCTCACACATCCATCTCTAATGGGAACCATTAAGCTGACATCACCATTCTCCACACTTCATAAAGGAGTCCTAACATCTGGAAATGGGAACCACCTGCAAGAGCTTTGACCAGCAATCACCATATCACTCAAGGATGTGGAAACTCGGGGGCAGGTAAAATGAGAAAGAGATATCTTAAAATGTCAACAGGGCCAAAGATTAATCATTTGAGGGCTAAAAGTATGTAGAAAAAGAAAGCTCTGGTCAGAAAAGCTAGACTTAAATCCCAGCCCTGCCACTTTCTAATTGGGATGGTAATTAACCTCTCTCAACTTAAGCAGAGTGTTAGATACTATGAAGAGAATTGATTTTGGAGCCAGCTAGTCCTAGGTTCAAATCTCTGCTCTCTGACATACTTCTTATATCACTTAACGTTGAATTACTTTCCTTCAATGAGCTTTAGTTTCTTGTCTACAAAACAGAGACACTTTCACTTGAAAAAGAAGAAAAAGGAAGAGAAAGAATGGGAGACAGAAAGAGAGAAAAAGAGAGAGAGAAAGAGAGAAAGACAGAAAGAAAGACAGAAAGAAAGAAACAAAGAAAGAGAGAGAAAGAAAGAAGGAAGGAAAGAAGGAAAGAGAGAGAGAGAGAGAAGAAGATAGAGGCCACTCCTGTAACCCCACCACTGAGGACACAGGCTGAGAGAGAATCCAAGTTCAAGTCTACCCTGGACTACACAGCAGTATCCTGTGGAAAGAAAGGAAGAAAAGAAGTAAGGAGTGAGAGATGAGAAAAATAAGCAAACTATTTTACTGGATAGTTGCATAAAACACTTACCACAGGGCCTGGCATTAATAAAGCTTATAAAACGAGGAGTGATTTAAATAATCAGTAAGATGGAATCAACTTTCCTAAGAGGTGGGGAAAACACAACAGACTTTAGGGGTGAATTAGGATTCTGGGACACATGGAACCTTCTACATCATTAGTGCCCTCTGCTCACCCTTGTGCTCACCTCTTTCAACCACAGGAGTTTGGGGGCCTGCATTTCCACAGACATCACACCCCCCACATACTTGAGGACACTATGTTTTGTCTTGTTGATCCTGCCAACCTGATTGACTGCTCGGTGGTCCAGCCACATGATGACATTTCGATGAGAATCCCCTAGAATAAAAACAACAGGGAGATGAGAACAGAGATGTATTCTTTTTCTTCTAGCTCAAAAGGCCAATTACAAGTTCTTAAGACAATGCACTGTACAACTTGTACTGTCACTTACTTCACCTAGGAACAATAAATAAGGTGAAAGAACACCAGTAAGGCTATGAGTAGTCTGCATCCAAATGTTGCAGTTCCTTTCTAGTGATGCATTCCTTGACCACAAGCCCTGGGTTAAAAGTCAATGCTAAAACTACAAAATTACTAATAAATATCTAAACACTAGATTTCTGTTGCACAGAACAGCCTAGGTCCTAATTTCTTCCCAAGTCCTTCCTTTTCATCACCTTGGTCCCTTTTCTCCAAGAACTCCTTTGGTGGAATGATGAAACTAGTATTGGATTCTGAGCTTAGAGGACTGTTTTGGGGAAAGTCACCATATTCACCAGCACATGGGGTCTTTCTGACATTCAAAGCAAGAAGGATCAAAGAAAAGGCCGACAATGAGATTATTCTGTCACACAATAATAAGTGATCTTAAGTGATAATGCTTAATTTACTTTGGTTTTTAACTTTTTGGTTGGCATCTAAAGATGGTAGCACTTTTGCCAGTCTTGTGGGTTTGGTGTTAGTGGTGATTGGGGTTACTGATCATCTTCCTAACCCTACTCTCTGCTTCTCACAATTACTCCAGCTAATCAACCAGGAGTTAGTCCCTGCCAAGAACCTGGAAACCACTTTTAAAATCTAATTTCATTTCCACACCTATGATAATCTACCTCAGATAAAAATCTAACCTTAATATAATCTGTTGACAGAAAGAAGCTGGTAAGGGGCACCTGCAGCTGTATGTGGCTGATGAATGGGTACATTTTAACCTTTTAGGTAGGACAGAGATATTTCAGCACTTTTAATTAAAATGGCAACTTAGCTCCCCTTTTAATAGAGCACTTGTTAAAAGGTAGCGATTCCACCTTCAGTGAGAAAAAAGATGGCAGCCAGAGAGGATATATATGCATTTAGGCAGGTTAACAACACTCTCTCTCCACGTCAAGTGTGGGTTCCCAGTATTTTATCTGTCCATTCATCTGTGCCCAATGGCAATCCATATACCAGAATTTCTGAGGAAACTTTTTAAATTCTGATACCCTAGTCCAAGCCAAGCGAACACAAATCAGTTCAGTTCAGGCAGCTGGAGGGTGGAGGAGTAAGCCTCATGAACGTTAATTTCCTAAAAAAGATCTTCAGCTGGGGCTGGGAAGGTGGCTCAGTGGTAGAACGCTTGCCTTGCATGCCTGAGGCCCTGGGTTCGATTCCCAGCACCACATAAGAAAAAAGAAAAAAGCCGGAAGTGGCGCTGTGGCTCAAGTGGTAGAGCGCTAGCCTTGAGCTGAAGAGCTGAGGGACAGCGCCTAGGCCCAGAGTTCAGGCCCCACGACCAGACCCAAAAAAAAAAAAAAAAAGATCTTCAGCTGATACTAATGCACAGCCAGGTTAAAAAGAAACCATATATTTTAGCAGATCAGAACAGCATGGACTCTTAATGTCTGAAGTTCCAACCCCAAATGAAACTTTCTCTACAGCATCCCTATCAGATAGTTATCCAGTCTTTACTTAAATAAAACTAATGGAGGAAGTATAATCTGCCTTCCTGAGATGTCAGTGTGCCCGCCATACTCCTAACTAGAATACTTGCTGCTACTCCAAAGTAGAATACTCACTGAGCAGAGTCCTGAGTCATGATCAATTCCCAACTCTCAGCTCTCGAGTGGTCCACTAGAGACATAGGCCGTTTGGAAGCATTTCTGAACCCTTAGTATCTCGTAACATAGAGCTTAGCACACAATAGGAGTTAATACTGGTGTCAAGAAAAGGGGAGGGGATTGAGTGAGTGTGCACATGAATGTGCATCTTTGTATGTATTATGGGACTCTAGTTATTCACCAATCTGCATCATTTTCAGCACATATCATTTGTGTGTGTGTGTGTGTGTGTGTGTGTGTGTATGTGTGTGTGTGTGTGTGTGTGTGTGTGTGTGTGTGTGTGTGTGTGGTGTCTGTGTCTGTGTGTTGGGGTCCTGGGGTTTGAACTCAGGGGCTGGGTACTGTCCCTGAGCAATTTTTATCAAGACTTGCCCTCTACCACTTGAGGCGCAGGTCCACTTCTGGCTTTTCTTGTGGTTAGTTGGAGATAAGAGTCTCACAGACTTTTCTATCTAGACTGGCTTTGAACCATGATCCTCATTTGGATCTCAGACTCCTAAATAGCTAGGTGACGTGAGCCACTTGCGCCTGACTCACATGCCACATAGTGAGTCCACAAAAGCGAACAGAACACATTCCTTTAACTGAAAGTGTTTCCAATCTACATGAGAAATTTTCCTGAGTTTTTAAGTGTAAGTGTTCACTCCTTACTGTAAAGCCACAGTTTCTGTATTCCAATCTTTCATTGGAGAAAACTGAGACACACATAGAAGTGAATTGACCCACCTAGGGTATTGTAGCTCAGCAAAACCAAAACCAAAACTCTGCCGTATCTGACTTCAATTCCAGTGTGTCATAATATGTCTTACTTTAGCAAAGAGACTAAGAACAGTGCCTCTATAGCACTGGCCACCACTGAAAGCTCTTAGCAAGAATCCAGCCCCAAACTTGCTTAGAATGGCTATCTTTGCAACTGCTGCGAGACAATGCCTGGAGCCACTCCTCCTTAGACAGAACATGGGATTTCCAGTATATCACAGTCTCCACCACTCCCTGATGTCTTGCACGTCTTGCAGGATCAAATATCAGTAAGAGTGCATCTTCACACGTGCTATCGTTTTTCTCAGACTTGGCCCATGTCTTAAGGAATGGCTATTGAGAATAGAGAGGCCATCTGTTTCCAGTTTCTGCGTGATTCATGGTCCTGTTTTGCCCTGTATCTTTTACATGGACTTGGCTCATCCACTTAAATGAACATGGTATAAGAGCTTTATGTACAAAGCGACCACAAATACTGATATTGCCTTCCCAAGAAAACATCCAAACCACAAATCTGTTTCAAGGCCACTCACTTGGAGTTAATGACTCAGTGTCTTGCCTTCACCAGGCTCTCCACTATTACTCTCAGGTTTTACACAACCAAGTCTTTTCCAGGCCCCATCCCCCAATGCTGTTTACTATGAAGTCTTTTTCTAAAAATTTATTTTTATTATCAAGGTAATGTATAGAGGGGTTATAGTTACATAAGTAAGGTAATAAGTACATTTCTTGGCAAACTTATTAACCCTTCCCTTGTTTTTCTCCCACTTTCCCTCCACCCTTTATCTCCCCCTCCTTGAGTTGTACGGATTATTTCCAACATACTGCCTTGTGAATATCGCTGTTTGGTTACCCCTGTCCTTTGTCTCACCAACTAGAAAGTAGTTTAACCTCTGGGATATCATATCTGGACTCTACACTTCACTTCCAAATCTCATCTGGGCCCTTTGAACTCATCAGCCAAGACCGCCCCAGCCCATCTCCCACCACTCAAGAAAGGGAAAATGGTCCTACCTTCATTATTTACTGGTAAAGGACAAAAGTGTGTATCCAAGACAACCAGGGAACATGTGGCATCAAACCCAAGTCCACGAATTCGGTTTAAGTCCATTCCTTGTATAACTTTCTGTTTCAAAAAAAAAAAAAATACAAATTACATGACACAAAGAGAAACATAATTACACCATCCAGCTTTTAAAATCTTGAAAACAATTTAGGATGAGAAGAAAATGAGTGACACAATGCAAAAAAGTTATTTGCATCCTAAGTCAGATAAAAGTTTAATATCACAAAGATTTCAACATATCTTTTTAATTAATGAGAAAAGGGACAATCAACCAAATTAGAAATTAAGCAAAATGCATGAAAAGTCACTTAGTAAGTAAAAAGAAATGATCATAGTATCTAAAAATACTTCTAGCTCGCTATAATGAGATAAAAAAATACAATAAAAATATCAAATTTTGCTTTTTAATTGGTAAAAACATTAAGGATTAACAACAGACTATAGTAATGACAAGAAATGGGAAAGTGGACCTTTTTTTAACATTATTGTAGCAATGAAATTATTGAATACAGCTTTCGAAAATAATTTATAGTATCTATTAAAATTACATATATGCATACCTTTTGGCCTAGCAATCCCACTTCCAGGAAACTATCTTAGCAAAATATTACTAAGTAAGTAAACTTATAGCAACACAGCTGAGAATATATTTTAAAAATATCAAAAACTATTTCTGTTAAATAAACTATAGCACATCCATAAGATGGGGTACTATACAGAAACTTAAATAAAGGTGGCAGACCAACTTCTGCGTATAGTGGAATGATGAGGTCATCAAATCGTCAGCAAAATAAAACTATAAATGTGGACAAAGTTATCAGAAACAATTGCTTTGGGGCTGTGGGAAACTGATCAAAGCCAGATGGCAAACTGTGAAGCATATTTTTCTTGAAAAGTCAAATTTATATGTAAAACAGTTGAGACAAACAAACCAAAAACTAATTCTAGGCCTAGATAGTTTCTCTGGGGAATTTTACAAATATTTACAAAAAAAACAATAGAAAACTTGTTTAAAATACACTAAAAGATAAAATACTTTCCAACAAATTTTATGTGGTCAGCATTACTTTGATATCAACTACAATAACTTAAAAAAAAGGACAGCACACACCAATATTAGTCATGAACATAGGTATAAAAAAACCTTAAGTATTAACAATCCAAATCTTGCAATGTATAAAACTGGCTTTGCATACCAGGTCTACATGAAGGTACCCCAAGATTGAAAGGGAGTTGTAATATCTATTAACCTATTGATAAATGGTAACAGAATAAAAAAGCACAAAAACCAAATGATCCTCTCAAAAGATGCAGCAATTTCTCCCTCCTCCCCACAGAAAGCCAATAAATCAGAATGGAAGAAAATTTATACAAACTGAAAAAAACACATTATCAAAAATGTATAGCTAATATCCTAGTAGTAAAATGAACTATTTCCACGGCAGAAATAAAACAAGAATATTCACTTTTATCACCTCTAGGTGACCCATCATAGAGATTATAGCCAGTACAATTCAGTGAGAAAAGAAATTACAAGTATACAGTCTATGGGCTGGGAAGGTGGCTCAGTGGTAGAGCACTTGCCTTGCATGCTCAAGGCCCTGGGTTCGATTCCTCAGCACCACATAATCAAAAAGAAAAAAGCTGGAAGTGGCGCTGTGGCTCAAGTGGTAGAGCACTAGCCTTGAGCTGAAAAGCTGAGGGACAGTGCCCAGGCCCAGAGTTCAGGCCCCACGACCGGACCCAAAAAAAAAAGTATACAGTCTGTACAAGAAGTTAAGGTTTGTATCTTTGCAGATACTACGATTTTATTTGTAGAAAAATCTATAATCAATGTATTCTATTGTAACCTCATTACTATATCATGAATATTTATCTTTATTAGCTTGACTTGTTTTTAATATTCAAGAGCTTACAGTACGATGTACAAACCATAAAATCCATTCATTGTGAATGTAAAATTCAAGTATTTTAGTATATTTACATGGAATCTATAATCAATTTTTGTAAGATTACAGGATTCAGGAGTAATATATAAAAATCTAACTGTGTGTGTGTGTGTGTGTGTGTGTGTGTGTGTGTGTGTATTTTTTTAGTCTGAGACCAGAACTCAAGCTCAGTATCTGATGCTGTTGCTCACTGGCTGGTGCTCTACCACCAAAACCATGCTTCCAATCTAAAAATCAATTATATTCCTACATACTAGAAACTAATAAATCAAAAAGGAAATTATGAAAGTAATTCCACACTTGGGAGGCATGGTTCAATAGCAGAGTGACAGTCATGAACTTCACTGGGTGCAAGTGTGAGGCCTTTAGTTCAAAGCCTGTTACTAGAAGATTAAGGGAAGTAATTCCATTCAGAATGATGTAAAAAACATCACTCAAGAATGAGTTTATCAAAAGAACTTCAAGCAGGTACCCAGTGATTCATGTGTAATATTCAGGAGGCTGAAGTGCAGAGCACTGTGATTCAAAGCCAGCCCAATAAGAAAAGTCTGAAAATCTATAAAGAGAGAGAGCAGATAGTTACCTATAACTAAGAGTGGAAACTGACTATTAATAGACACAATGGAATATTTTTGGAATAATAAAATTGCTTTAAAGTTGGATTATGGTAAAGACTGTACAACCATGTAAATATACTAAAATATTTGAATTTTACATTCACAATGAATGGATTTTATGGTTTGTACATCATACTGTAAGCTCTTGAATATTAAAAACAAGTCAAGCTAATAAAGATAAATATTCATGATACAGTAATGAGGTTACAATAGAATACATGGCATTGTTAATGGAGACAGAAGTGCATCTGGAGAATTTTTCCACTCCTTTCTGTAAGTTTTAAAAGTTGTAGAATAATAGATTAAGTAATTCTATTTTCCTCTAGGGGTTTTCTTTTAGAAAAAGCACAAGTGGCCATAATCTGTAACATTTCCCACTAACTTAAAATAGGACAATAACCTTTTAAATCTCACAAAAGTGAACATCCCCATTTATCTTAAAATACACAACTCTATTTGCTTTTGGTGAAACCTTATAATTTAGGGTTCCATTTTTTACTATTTAATATGCTACTCAAGAAAGAGCTATACACAACTGTTGGGCATTTCCAATAAAGAAAACCATTAATTTTTCAAATCATATTAGCAATAGGTAATAAATCTATCAAAAGGCATAAACATCTATGTGCTATCTGTTTCAGATGACTCATTTAATCCTTGCAACACCCTTTTCCTCTTATAAATGTTATAAAGCAGATATTTAATATTTGTGTCTTAAAATAAATAAATTAATGTCTGGGAAAGGGTGAGCCTGTAGTTACAGACAGGTTAAAGAATTGTCTTTGACACACAACTAGTAGATGATAAACCAGCATTCAAAGTTAGAACTTTTTCTGTGTTTTTCTCTCGGTCTTTGATCACAAAGAATTTCCTTTTGTCCATAAGATTCACTGATGAAGAGACCACATGCTCTGTGAAACCAAATTTGTTAGTGACCCATCTGTGACAGAGAGCAGTATATATTTGCCAAACCTATTCCCTGACAGGCAGCATGGTTTTGTGACAATAAGTTCCAAAGCTCTAGATTCCAATCCTAGCTCTGCCACACAATGTAGAGTACAGCACAATAAAATCCCTTCCAGCCATTCCTGCTGCTCCAGCCTTGCTGGGTCTTACCTCCACAATCTTTACAGACACTTTCCTCTTCCTGAAATCACTGGAGGCTGGTACCAACCCATGCCTTTGGGGACAAACCACCTGAGGCTGAAACCGGTTGGCCATTTACTAGTTCTCTGATTTTAGGAAACTAGATAACCAGTTTCCTCAGCTAAACATAGGTATTGCTTAAAATCTGAATCTCTAGTGGGTTTATGAGGATTCAGCAAAATAAAGTGTGACTGACTCAACACCTAGCATTCAGGGTATAGTCAGCAGCAGCTAATACTGGAGTTAACTATTTCAAATCTTCCTTGAACCACATGGGACATCAGTCAGTCACTGAGCTAGCCCTAACTTCTATGTATGTGGCCTTGATAGCTTTATGTCCAGACAGTGTATGCCTGCCTGAGAAATGTTCATGACTCAACAAAACCCCATATCACAGGCAGCACCATTAAAGCAATGCCATGGGATATGGTGACCAGAGTCCTTTCTGTTCTTAAAGTCATACAACCAATACTTCTGTACTATTCTCCTTGTCTTTCTGAGTCTTGGTTTCTGTACTATTCTCCTTGTCTTCCTGAGTCTTGGTTTTAGGAACCACAGCCCAGGTAAGGATCAAACAATTTAAGAATTTGAAAGTACCATGGAACTGGTATGCCTTTGCAGAAAATAGAAGAGAGGAGAGACCCACTCACCATCTTATTAATTATGTTCATGGAATATCTTAATGTACAACGCATAGCGTACTCTGTGTGTCAGAAAACACATAGGCAAAGGGACAAGTAAGAGAAAAATGGTATAGACTCAGTTCTTTTTAAGGATTTATAATAGGTTTACACTTTCAAGTAGGAACAAGGAAAATGATTTCTTAATCTATTTTAAGAAGACCCTTTGAAGATATCCAGTTCTGTATTCAAATCAGAGTTTTTCTATCACAAATGGGGCTCAGTGTCTTGCCACTTCTAAAATATGAGACCACTAAGAAAGAACTCACCAAGTAATGGTAGCATGCATTTAATTCTGACTTTGCTAGTCATTATTACTTCTCCAGTTTTACTAGGGAATGGCTCCCAATCACATTGACCCATAGCTGAGATCTGCCCTGTGCCACAATGTCCCTCAGCCATCCAAATACCCCAGGAAGATGGCTGTCAGGATCACACTGCCAGAAGGCCCCTGAGGCTTGACTGAAAGACCTACGGATTCTTACTGATATTCCTAATAATGAAAGAAAAAAGCAGCCAAGTAAACTCAGTCCAACAGCTTGGCATCAAGAGAATTTCCCTGATTAGAGAGAAAGCACATTGCTCTTCTAAAGAATTTCCAGAGAAGGAAATTTCTGCAGTCTCATTTGGTATCCTGGTCCATGTCTAACAACTGTCAACTCAGAGCTCTGAGGCAGCAAACAAATATTTGGGGAAGGGATTGGGCATTTCTTTGTTCTTACTGTGGGGAATGAGCTTGGTCTTGCACGTGTTTTAAATCAGCAAGTTCTGATATTGGGTGGAGAGGTACCATTCCCCAGAAACTCTCTAAATAGAGAACTGCAAGGGTCAGAAGCACACTTTTTTTTTTTTTTTAATCTTCGGTTCTATTTAGATTCAGGGTCAAAGCCTGGGGCTTCGGGAGCTGAATCCTGCTTGCAGCCGGTGCAGGAATCTTTTAGGTATAAATTTGAATGCCTTTGTCTGCTTGGAGTAAGCATGGAGTTTTGTAATTCTAGTTCCTTCGGTCTCCCTCATTTCCTGGGTCTTGTACAATTCGCTCACTTACTCAGCCTGTCCTTAGAAAATATAATCAATCCCCTACCAAGGTCATGCTATATGCTCCTCTAGCTATTTGGGAAATAAGAGAGTAAAGTTTCCTTTTTAAACCTTGCTCATTTGAGGATTACATTTTAGTGCATATAGAAAATAGCAAACAAATCAAACAAATTATACAATGTAGGTATACATTAGGCAGGATGATCAGGAGTATCAGAGAAGGAGACTGTGGTTTCTAAGAAAGGGAAAGTAATGCATGAAGAGAAATGTGTGAGGTGACCTTGTGAAAATGTGGGAAGAATGTTCCTGGCAGAGATATAGCCAATACAAGGCCCTGAGGTGGGACTAGCAATAAGAAAAACAGTCTGTATGAGATACATCTTTCCTAGAAGAAGGCAGTATCTTGTTAAACCTACTATAGAAACTTCTGATAGGAATGAATCCAGTCCTGGACTATTACCTACACAGCTTCCTAGATTAGGTATGGTTTTGTGTTCCTTGATGGTTGGGCAAGAAAATGGAAGCCCTACCCTTCTGTTTATGTCAGTAGCACCAACATTCTTCTAAGAACCCAAGATCTGAAATCCCATCTCCTTCTACTTTATCACCAAGTCACCTGAGACCTTCCTTCCCGTAACCTCTCAGCCCCTGCCTTGTTTATGTCTCTGCCAATGCTGCGGTCCAGGTATGCTAGCTGGAGATAGGAAGACTGGACAGGCTGAGGAAGGATTCTGCAGAAGTCTGACACTACGGGTGGGGGATATAGCTACAACAGAAAGATGCGGAGGCATCATTAGACGAGATGAGCAACAGGTCAGCCCCAGACTGTGCAGAGACCTGAAGGCCATATCATGGCTCCAATGAGTAAATGAAGGGTTGGAAACAGAGTGACATGATCAAGACATGCAAGACTAAGACCACTCTAGAGTTAGATACAATAGTATCCACCTATAATTCCAGCACTAGAGAGGGTGAGCTGGAGGACTGGGTTTAACAGGCCAGCCTGAAACACATAATGAGTTCCAGGCCAGCCTGGATTACACTGTGGAACTCTTTCCCCAGAAAAAAGAAAAAGAAAAAGAAGAGAAGAGGGGAGGGAAGAACAGAGGAAGGGAAAGGAAAAAGGGACTCGCTCTTGCTATGAAAGTATGGATCAGAAGGAAGAGCACACACACAGATATCAGTTGGGATGTTTAAGTAATGTAGGCAAAGGATGAAGGCACATTTCTAGAAATAGAACACATAGATTTGACCTATTTGGATCCTAGCTTATCACTGAGTGATCTTGGGAAATTCCCTGAACAATATGACCCTAAGTTTTAACTTCTCACCTATAAAACAGGAATGAATCCCTCTTCCTTACTTGCCTTGTAAAGATGATCAAATGGATATAAATGTGTTTTGCAAACTATAATAAAGGTTCTATGAGTGTAGGAGATTTACATTACTGTTCAATCCCACCTGAGTTACCATCTCTTCTGGCCCCTTCTAACAACCATATGCTTTACCCATGGGCTTCTTATTTTCCATATTTTATCTCAGAAATTCATTCTCCTCCAGAATGCACTTATTTTTGTTATCATGGCCAACCTAAGAAATGCTATGATTATTTCTCAGCACCATTAGCATATTTTCTACTCATTAACCCATTTAGTCATCCCAACCATAGGCAGATAACTCCAATCCTATTTTACAGGTTAAAATATTGAGACAAGAAATAGTAACGTGGTCCAAGGTCACAAATTGAAGGGTTGTAGTGGGATGTTAACCTTGATGTCTGGCTCCAGGATGCATGCTGTCTGACCTGCTCCCTCTCTAAACATACCTCCCCTCCTTTTCCCCTCACCCCAGCAATGCTGTTCTAAGCAGATGTGCCTACACTGCGGCTTCTGGCACATGGCCACCTCTCCATGTGAGAGAAATGGCTCAAGACCCAAGAGCTTTATGCAGGTTTGCTATATGGAGACAGCACTGCAGCGGACAAATGCCCACAGCACTTACAAGGCTCACAGGACTCAAACTGATGAGCACCCGCCCCTGCAGGAAGATGATTAAAACTCCACCATTAAACCAAGCTGAGATTACAGGAGACCTTTCTTAAAGTAGCTTTTCATCAGGGGATTCTCTCTCTATATATATATTTTTTTCCTTGACAATTTCCTTAATGGCCAGAAAGGCTATATGTTAGAAGAACAAAGGAGACCCAAGGGCAAAGAGCAGAAGATTTTCACCAAGCCATGAATGGGATGGGGGGAAGGGGAGCGAGGGGGGGTAGAGAGCAGGGAAAAATTAAACAGGCAGTAGAGAGATGCACCCCTCTTTTATTCCTGCATAATGTACCAGTGCTGCCCACCCCACCTCCTTTGGCCTTCTTCTCCAGGGGGCACTAACAGCAGCCCAGAGCTCATGAAAATTTAAACAGACTGATCGATAGGGACAGAATGGTGAATTGTCCATCTGCAAATTACCAAGTACCTCATGAATATTTAAGGAACTAAGCTAGGAATGGGGAGAAGAAGGAATTCAGGACTTTAGTTTTCCCTCTGGGTGGGCAGGGGAGGATATTAAAAAAAAAAAAAAAGATAAAAGGATGTTGATCCTTACTGAGCACCAGCATCTAAAGTCAAACCAACAAGTGAAATGAAATATGAACAAGTCCTGTCTATCATCACTCCTTTCCCCAAGCCAGAAGGTAGAACCAAGTCCAAGGCTACTCGAGGTGAGTACCTGCCACGACATACTGGAAATGCTCCAGTTAGACCCAGATTTCTCACTTTCTCAGAACCTATCACAGGCTCACGCCCCATGCCTTTATGATTGCTGTTCCTTCTGCCCAAAATGTGGTTCCCTCATTTGTCTACTTGGGTGGCAGGAGAGTCAAGAAGAACACAGATCTGGAGTCAAATTGCTTAGGTTCTGGTCCTGCCCCTGCTGTTACTGCTCTGAGGTAAATTAATCCAAAAGCCTCATTTTGGAAGATGGAATATTGGAGTCTTTATAATACAGTTAGCAGGCTGCAGGCAGCCAGTTCTTACAAAGGCCTGTGGCCTCCAAATACACTTAACATAGCTAAGAAAAAGGCCAGAGAGGGAAGAAAGAACAAAAATAATACCAACAAACCAAGTAAGCTCCAACGGAGAGCTAGATTGGGATGCCATGATGACCTGACATAAGCCAGGAGACAGGTCACAGGACACGATCATGGAGACACACATGGGGTGGCATAATGGTGGCTGGGCTGGTCTGGGCCTAAATAGGGTCCAAGCACGGGAGGTCCACAGGAAATTGCCAGTCCCAGGCTCTGGACTGACAGAGTCAGTAACCTATCAGCCAAGTGACCCAAGTGCCCACTGCTGCCTTCAGGGATCTGGGAATGCCCATCACCTGGCAGGCAGGTAATGGCCGGGGCATTTCCTTCTCCCAGCATGAAGACAAGATGCCAGACCCTACCATCCACCATGCGGCCAATATGGCACAGCCAGACCTGGCCTCGTTACTTTATTGCTAGCTATAAGAACTTGGGTTAGTTAACTTCTTGTTCTTCATTTCCTCTTGAATAAAACCAGGGGTAATGACTACCACCTTTTAGCGCTATTGGGAGGATCTGGCTACACAATGCATGTGCAGCCATTTCAGCCACAGTAAAGGCACATTAGGAGTTAGCTATGATCATCAGGGACTCCTTCCACATTTGTTCATCTCAAGATTCTGTAGCCTCTATCCCTGAGCCTCCTCAAGTTTAGATCTAGCCCTAGTCATAGGACTTAGCAGATTTCAGCAGTTTGTCAAGCTCTATGATAGCAAGTTCCAGACAGGCAAAGCTATATGCTGCTAAGCTCTGTAAAGCAAGTGACTCCAGCATAGTACCTGGTGTCAGGTAGACACATGACAAACACTGAGTAGGTGAGAGCATCCATAGGGGAAAACACCACAGGTCTGTCCATACCTTTGTGACAACACAGCATGCAGCCCAGATGTCTTCAGAGGACTGCTCATGGTGGTTGAATTGAGGCTCCCACTTCTTAATTGGCTGGTCTGCGAAAGCCACAAGAACCCCTCTCTGGTCCACTAGGGCTGCACGGACGCTTCCTGTTCCAACATCGACACCTACATAGTAGCTGCTCATCTCTTGTTCTCCACCTGACATTGTAGTCCTCCAGCTGTCATGAACCAATACAGAACCCACGTGACTCGTGACAACCAGTGGACCTGCAAAGACAGAAAACATGAAAGTGGAAGTGACATGGAGAGTACCCACTTAACTGTGGCCATTTATCACTTATTTATCCAACAAAAGTTTCTTGTTTATTGATTTGGGTGATATTAGGCTTTGTGCTGCTAGAGGTACCCTACCATTTAAGCTACGATCAGTGTTCTCTTAGCTGTAGTTATTTCTTTTAATAAAGTCTCATTTTGGTTTTTGTTGTTGTTGTTGTTTTTTAAACTCCAGCTAACCTGGACCAAGATCCTCTTCTTTGTGTTTCTTGTGTAGCTGGGCTAACAGGTACATACCACCACATATAGCTTTATACGCATTGACATAGGGTCTTGTGAAATTTTTGCACAGACTGGTCTGGAGGCTTAATCCACCTCATAGTCACCTCCTGAGCAACTAGAATTATAGACATGAGCCACCATACCTGGCCCCAACAAAAGTTTTTACAGATGCTATGCTAGGTGCGTGGTAAGACAGTCATGGCTTCAGATATGGATGGTATTCCCATTCCCGGAACGGGAATGTAATTACATATTAAGCAAAGTTGTAGTAAGTGCAAATAAGAGGTAGACACAATGGCAATGAATCTGTTCTTAAAGAATTTGAATTCACATGACAGTGGCCACGGTCCTGAAAAGGAATCCTCTTTCCAGTCAGCCATTAACTATTGGGCATCTATTCTAGACCAAGTAGTATGAAAAGGGCATATACATGGCCTCAATTCCTCACTAAGATTCTAGAAAGTGAGTGTCTTTAAATCTCTGTTGTCCCAATGATCAAGGTGAGACGCCAAGAAGTAGGTAACTTTTTGTTGCATGTTAGGTCCCACTCAGAAATAGCAAATACACATTATTACACATGATGCCAAAGACTTATGAGAACACAGGACTATGGGAAGAAAAGGAATTTACATAGCCTCACTCACGGGCTGCCTGGTCTAAGGTCCCATGTCTGTTCTTGCAATCCCACATCTCCTCTTTCCTTTCTTTCATGAAAGCTTGCAGTATCATTCTGGAGAAGAGGCAAATATATCATAGTGGTGTCATGAGGTGAGTGAGAATTGGGAGCAGCCCCAGGGGAAGCAGGATCAGGAATTTGTTAGATAATCTGTTTTCCTTACAGCCCACTGGTGAGTTACAAGGAAATCTGACCAGAGAATGCTCAGGTATTCCTTTGCCCTCATGGCTGCTCAAATCCCCTTTGGTCAAATTAGCACATATGACATAGAAATCTCACAGAGGCTTTTCATTTTCTGTCTACCACACAAAGAGCAACCCAGAGACGACAACACTAGTACACATGCTGCAACTCCCCAGTGAGCTTGGGGCAGACCTGAAGCAATCTAAGTGCCCAGAGTCCAATTTCAACCAAGTCCAATTTCAGCAGCTCCTTGTACCCTTCTACTTCGGGAAAGATAATGTTACCTTGGTCAGATCACACATGAGGGCCCTAAAGCAAGTCAGCCAGCAGATGTGCGATTACTGCTTCCTGGATATATATTCCAAAAAGAAAAGAGAAGAGAAGAGGAAGAGTGAGAAAGAGAGAAAGAGAAAGGAAGGAAGGAAGGAAGGAAGGAAGGAAGGAAGGAAGGAAGGAAGGAAGGAAGGAAGGAAGGAAGGAAGGAAGGAAGGTAGGAAGAGGTAGGGAAGAAGGGAAGGAGGGAGGAAGACAGAGAGAGAAAGAGAGAGAGAAAGAAAGAAGGAAAGAAAGAAAGAAAGAAAGAAAGAAAGAAAGAAAGAAAGAAAGAAAGAAAGAAAGAAAGAAAGAAAGAAAGAAAGAAAGAAAGAAAGAAAGAAAGAAAGAAAGAAAGAAAAAGAAAGAAAGAAAGAGGAAGAAAGAAAGAGGAAGAAGAGAAAAAAGGAAAGATTATTAAATGCAAGTGCTTCTAACTTAAGTCTTTCGTTCAATTTCCTTCCTTACATAATCTCTTTTACTTTGGGGCAATGTGCTAGGCAATTTCAGCATATGCATCACAGGGTGCTCACATGAACTGAGATGGGGCAGGCTGTAACATTCCCAGGCTGTCCTAGAGGTACTCTGTCATTGACCTAGCATCACTATGTGGCAATTCACTATACCTACTAGTGAACTGTTGCCTTCTAATCTTTGTATTCTTCATCTATCCAACAGAAAATACTTCCTGATTTTCTTACAATCACCTATCTTTTAAACTCTGTGATACTTACTGTTTCCCACACTAAACTGCAAACATAATTCTTAGAAGCAATGGCATTTTGCAATTGACTGGTAACATCTTTTCTCTTTGTGGTATATGAAATAACAGTACTTCTCACAATCAGCCATGTCTGAGACTCAAAGAAGTGTAGATTGTGTCAGGTACTAGGCCCCTCAGCTAAGGACACAGGAAGGGATAGAATCAGGAGGATGCCTTGGTGCAGAGCCTCCTGTTTCTTTGCCTGAAAAGAGGAGGAAGACTGACCCAACTTAACTGCTCTACCCTCCCTGCACCAACCAGTCATCTCCTTGCCCCACTTGGGATTCTCTCCACTTCTCCCTGTCCACTGTGAAAACTCAGGAAGCTGCTCCTTGACACTGACCCTAGCAAGCCAAGAGCTCTCTGTCCTTTAGTACATCTTAGACGATGCTACACTTGGAGAGAAACAAGAAAGCAATAGGAAATGAAGCATCTATATGAATCTTTGGCTTATACAGACCTAGCTAGTCACTAGCAAGGCTTCTCTCCCTCCTGCCAACAGCAAGAAGAAAGATTCTCCACGGGCCTGACTCAGATCCACATAGCAGGCTTCCTCACTTTTAATTCTGTCTTCCTTTGCAGGAAATACATCCTTTTAGTACCCACACATCTTGATTCCTCTCCACTGAAGTCTAAAGAAGCAGACCTCCACTACCTAGCTGACCATGGGCTTGCTCCAGTTCAGGTTCTGGATCTAGGGAAGAGCCTATCTTTCAGTAGATCTCCCCTACCTCATACACAGAGTACAGCAGTGTTACCATTACACAATTGACTCCAGCTGCTGCCTGGGTCACAGCAGGATGCCCAGTGCATGACACAGCACACAGCAGAAACTCAACAAGTCCTCCGTGGACTCAGTGAATGACCTGGATATCTTTAGAACCTACACTTAGGGAAATCATAAAAGACAACAAGTTTACTACATATCTGATCCTCTGCTAAGCAGCATGCTTACAAAGCCACTTTAAATCCTTAGTACAATTCTCCAAAACAGTAACAATTACTATTTCCATTTTGCTCATGAGCAAATTGGGTCCTAGACAGATAAAAGACTCCAAAGGTTCATGTAACTAGTGAGTAGTACAACTGAAAGCAAACCATTCTCTCTCACCTCAAAGCCTCTAACCTTTCTGGGCATGCTCTACTGCCTTCTGATATACTCCCATTCCTGAATGCTCTGTTAGGCTCTGTTAGGGCCCTGGCCTAGGGTACTGAGGCTAGATAACTCAGAATCCAGGATGTCTTCTTCAGAGACTGATCTTCCACAAACCCAGTGAACCATCATTTCCATAACATCGCATCAAGGCATCCCAGGAAATTCTCTCTGGGAGCCCAGGCGTCAGATCTCCCAGCAACATCTACCCAAACACCCCAGTTCTGTTCTGTTTTGTTTTGAATTTTATCTTTAAGTAGTTGTACAAAGGAGGTGTCATTCAACAAAGTAGTCTACAAATCTAACGAATCTTGATCAATGTCACTCCCTTACATCATTCTCCCTTACCCTCTCAACCCAAACCCTTCCCTCAATTTTCTTAGTTTTGTAGAACAAGCATTGAATTTTATGACTGCATGTCCCCAATGCCACCCTTTCTTTTTTCATTCATCTACCTAGTGCATATTTTCCTAAGAGATCCTAATAGAGATTAAGTGGTTTAGGTTCGACATTTTCCCCCCATTATTGCACTGATTAAACAATCTCTGAGATTGTTTCTATACCTGGAACCCAAAAATAAGCAAGTGAGAGCCCTTGAGTAGCTAGTTAGCTTCCCTGCAAGCTGATGAAGGCAGCACAAAAGCTTAGCAGGGCATTCTCTCTCTCCAATGGGAATCATTTGCTCCTCCTCCTCTGTGCCCTTTGTTCTGGGGCAACAAGTACTGTCTGCTCTCTGTGCCCTGGACTCCAAATCATATTCTACTGGTATCTCTGAGCCACAGAAAGTGAGCTCAAATTGCAAAACTGAAAATAGTATTCCTTTTCAAGTGTATTTATTTGTATTTAGGATCCTCATTGTGCCAATCATTTCCATACACATGCTCAACCCAAACAGGCTGTGAAACCTATAACTATCTCAGAGATTAGGGTAGGAGCAGTTTGCCCCAAATCACCCAAATACTAACCCTCACCCAGGGATTTGAACTCCAGCTTCCAATACCAAGTTCCTTCCCTAACACCAAGCTAAAAGCCGAAAAGCCTTTGGTAACTTCAAATAACATCACTTAAAAAAAAAAAGCCAGAACAACCCAGTGAGGTATCCAGAAAAAAGTCCCTATTTCCTAGGCAAGGAAATTAAGGTTCCCCAGAAGATGAAGCTGATTATGACCACATGGCATGAAGCAGAGGGACTAGAATTCCAGGCTATGTCAGTGCAGCTCCAAAACCTACTTATGAATGGTGAGTTCAAACTTTAGTTCCATTTCTTTCTTTTTTTCTTTTTAAATAAAGATGAATACTCTAAAAAGAAAAACAGCTGTTAAGCGTGTGGGGAGGGTAGTCAGGCCGAGAAAAATAAGAGTATGGGCTGTGGATAGCCAAGAGAAAGAAAAATACTGCAGAGAAATTCAAGCTGTGACGCACACGATTCCTGAGCCATGCCTAACTTCTCAGTCTACAAAGTCTCAGTCTCAGAGGCCCCAAACGGCCTCCTTCCAATTCCCCAGCATGGGCTGCTCTGACTTTTAGCCTCTATTTATGATCAAAAGGCTGCTCCGTATGATAAATATTTATACGGTTCATTAAATAACGGCCTGTATAAATATTATTAGAAATGTGCCACAGGA